AGAAACAACCCTTAAAAGAAAATCTAATCTCAGATTCAATAGATGTGATATACGTTATGTATTAACTACTAGTATAATTGTAAGTGTACTACTTGAAAATTACACAATGACATTTTTCATCTGTACAGCAAGTGGTTATAAATACTTGTAAATATTTAGTTTCTGTACTCTATTCTATGCTCAGAACTTGAATATTGCACTTAACCGTTACAACTGCACACACAGTAATAGATACGCATACACACACACAGACACACACACACGCACGCACACACACACACACACACACACACACACACACACACACACTTCCTTGAGGTACAAAGTGAGTAAACTTTCACCAAACCACTATAGTTTTATTCTGCTGTATACTGAATATACTCCATACTTTCTTAATTATAGTTTAAAATGAACATACTAATAGTATACTTGATAATACATTTTTTTTGTAAGAGTACATGGACCCTTTTCACAAAAAAGGTTATGATGTGTTGATGGTGATCAGCATCTTAAATCTTTAGTTCTTTTTCATTTTAGATTTTTAAAAAAATATGTACACTTCTAAAGCTATACTTTGTATTATGTCATCTGTGCGTCAAATTACAAAAAAAAAAAAAAAAAAAAGATTGCTTGTGTCAGGTGTTTCTAATGCAGTGCCTATGGGCAGAACAGTAAATTGGACGTTGTTCTCTCCTCTGGTTGCCATTATCAGTCACACACTATTATTATTATTTTATTTATTTATTTATTGTTTTTTTCTGAAAGTATTGATAACACCATCATTTGGTTTTTCTTTGGTTATTGGAGCAAAATAAAATGCAAACATTTTGTTGTATTCTGCCATTAGTATGATGACTTCTGCTACTAAACAACCCAGAATTGTGAAAAGGGTCCATCGAACCTAAATAACACATTGATTTTAACATTTGAATTTCAATTGTTTTATTTCTCAGACACTGTCACAAAAATCAGCAAAGGAACAGCTTGCCAAGTAGAAGCAACAATAAAATCATGGTTAAGAAAGTCAAGAGACAGAGATGGTGGGCGCCAAGGAAGGGCCAAAACTCAGAAAGGACTTACTTTTAATGACATTTTTTG